GTATTCACTATCCATTGGAGAGAACTGAACGCCTCAAGAGTTGAAGCTGATACAGCTGGCTTTCTCATCTAGTGGCACCATACCCTCCTGGGTAGATTGAGGGAGGAGCCTCGTTGTTATGGTAGACAAAACCCATTCAACTTAGCCTAGGCTTTTAACTGAATTATGGTCCTGCACCTCTCCACTGGTTTCCTTGTCTGCTGTCGCATTGATCTTAAGTCTTCTTTATTTATTTAGTATTCTGAAATATTTATAGGATGCTTTTCTGAACAAAAAACCCCAGCTTACATACAGGGGTTGCTAACCTTTTTGGGCCAGTGGGCAAATTTGCAGACTGCAGAAACTGTGCCTGGTGCCAAACACACACAACTACAAGTGCATGTCACAACCTATACTGTTGACTACAATAGAATGCTTCCTTTAAGTCTAATTTCAGTGGAGGGAGGGGACTGTGCAGATGCCCCCTGGCTTACAACAATTAAAAATATTAAGTATTTTTAAAAATAAAAAAATCAGTATCATTAAAACATAAAACAAACTCACCGAAACAGACACAGAACTTGAGTAATAATGCTATTCCCGCTTTCATCCAGTTAGCAGGACAAAAATTACTCAGTCTACTAGTTTGCTCTTTTTCTTTTTTTTTACTATTTAAAAAATAGATTTAGCATTACAAAGTTCTGGTTGTTTAATTGACACGTTGGGCACTTTTAATAGGAAAGTGACTCAACTATTTAAAATAAATGGAGTACTGGCCAGTTGCCAGTAGTCAATTTTCTCAGTGCATATGCAAATTTGTTTGTTGTCCTTTCCTTTTCATATTTATATAGAAATAATTAATATTGCCACGTAAATAAAATTGTATTGGTTTGTTTTACTTCCAGCAAGGAGACTCAGGAGCAAGATACCTGAAGTTTCACACATTTTGAGGGCTTGCTCTTGCCACAGAAAATACGGCTGACATTAGGGCAGTTTTTGAGATAAAGGGAGGAAAACCTACCAAATAGGGAGATAGGATCTGAAAGGTGAAGCTGCTGGGAAATGATTTATAATGAGTTGGAAAAAAATGTTTAAAATAACTTTTTCTAAAAACCCCAAAGCTTTTCTTTTAGGAATTCTAGGTGCTGAAATCCCAAGGGAGCAGAAAAGGCTATTTATGTATGCGACCACAGATGTTATTGGCCCAGAGATGGAAAGAAGATAAGAGTCCCCACCAGAGAAGAATGGCAGATCAAGTTGATGGATTATGCCACAATGGCTAAAATGACAGGAAGAGTCAGAAGTCAGCAAGAGCAGAATTTTAATAATGGGGGAACATTCATAATTTATCTTAAAAACACTTGTAGTTTAATGGTGACTTTTGGACATACTGGAGATGTAAAAGATTTGGATCAGGCATAGGCAAACTCGGCCCTCCAGATGTTTTGGGACTACAACTCCCATCATCCCTAGCTAACAGGACCAATGGTCAGGGATGATGGGAGTTGTAGTCCCAAAACATCTGGAGGGCCGAGTTTGCCTATCCCTGATTTGGATGATCATAAAAGATGCAGGAGGAAATGATTAATAACAACAGGACTCACAAAGGGGAGGAGGGAAGTCCAGGAGATTCTTTGGAATCTTGTTTTTATGTATTGGATATGTTATTGTAAAACTTTGATCTGAAAACCAAATAAACAAATCTTTAAAAAAAAGAAAGGTGAAACTGCTGTGATCTATTCTAAAAGCAATCCTTAGGAACTGCTAAACCCTAGTAAGATTGTACGCAGCATGTGTACCAATGTCCTAAGACTGTCAGAGGGGTTGTGGGCATCAACAGGTCACTTGTCCCTGACCATTTGCCACCCTGGCTGGTGCTGTTGGGAATCCAACAACACCTAGAGGCCCACCCCTGGTGTAGAGTAGTTGGACCAATGGTCTGACTCCCTGCATTTCAGGGGGTTGGACTACATGACCCTCAGGTTCCCTTCCAACTCTACAATTCAATGCTTCTAAGGCAGCTTCCTGTACAAGGTTCCAACCCTTGCAACACTTTTTTTAAATTAAATGATAGCATATTTAAACCTAATTTTGATACAGCAAAAGCTTTTACAGATTACATCTTGCTTCTGCTGCTGGATGGTACTGTGAAGATATGTGTGTTTTCTGGTTCAAGGGTATCTAGGTCACATTGCACCATATTGCATATTAGAACATAATGATGCAGTTGCTTTCCATATAAGAAAAATAACTCATCAGCTATCAGGTCCTATTAGATTCCAAAGTCTCAAGTCTCATTTTTAAAATGAGAAGAATAAGCACCAGGTAATATCTACATCTAAGAAGCAAAACTAGGTAGGTCCCCCATGGTACAGAATGGAAGATGTGCAGAAGTGTTTAGCCGGTGACTGAAAATGGGGCACTCAAGCCACCTGTTGTTGCATAACCCCAAGTAGTGAGAAATTCTGGAAGCAGTGCTACCTGGGTGTGGCATCCTTTGGAGGAGAAAGAACAAGACACTTTCGTATTTAACAAATATAGAAGAGATGTAGAGATAAGCAGTGGTGCACTTGTGCCATGCCAACTGCCCTGGATGCCTCTATCCCACCAAGATGCTTTCAACCTTCATCTCTCCCTCCCTCTTGGCTTCTGCATCTATTTCAAACAGGTCCTATTTTCCCTCTCACCAGTGTTTCTGCACCCATCCATTATTCTGTGAACTTGGTGCATGTGTCACCTTTGCCAAAGACGTACGGCTCTTTCTTTCTATTTTCCAACCATCTCTTGGCTTCCATGGAAACAATTCACCCAACCATTGTATTATTATAATATTAGTAGCCAGCTGGAAGTTGTAAGCGTTTAAAGCTGAGAGGAAGGCAGACTTGGAATGGATCTCTCCTATCATTAGGTACTGGTATAGAAACATCAAAATTCTTAGCCCAGCTGGACAATTGTCTAGCACTGAAGTTGAACTCAGGTTACTGTGGAAAGAATCTGGAATGGAAGATTTGGGGTGTTATCACTACTTGCCAGATAAGATGGTATCACCAAGGCAAATTATTGGGAAAGAAATTACCGTATTTTTCACTCTATAAGACGCACCAGACCACAAGACGCACCTAGTTTTTGGAGGAGGAAAACAAGAAAAAAAATATTCTGAATCTCAGAAGCCAGAACAGCAAGAGGGATCGCTAGGCAGTGAAAGCAGCAATTCCTCTTGCTGTTCTGGCTTCTGGGATAGCTGCACAGCCTGCATTCACTCCATAAGACGCACACACATTTCCCCTTACTTTTTAGGAGGGAAAAAGTGAGTCTTATAGAGCAAAAAATACGGTACATTTGCCATTTTTATGGACGTTTATTGTTTGCTTGTATGCCTGTTGTCTTTGTCCATGGAGTTTTCTTGGCAGGGATACTGGAGTGGCTTGCCGGTTCCTGCTCCAGGTGGATCACGTTTGGTCAAAACTCTCCACTATTACCTGTCCATCTTGGGTGGCCCTGCACGGCATAGCTCATAGCTTGATGCTTTTGAATTATGGTGCTGGAGGAGACTCTTGAGAGTCCCATAGACTGCAAGATCAAACCTATCCATTCTGAAGGAAATCAGCCCTGAGTGCTCACTGGAAGGACAGACCGTGAAGCTGAGGCTCCGATACTTTGGCCACCTCATGAAAAGAGAAGACTCCCTGGAAAAGACCCTGTTGCTGGGAAAGATTGAGGGCACAAGGAGAAGAGGATGGCAGAGGACGAGATGGTTGGACAGTGTTCTCGAAGCTACCAGCATGAGTTTGACCAAACTGCAGGAGGCAGTGGAAGACAGGAGTGCCTGGCGTGCTCTGGTCCACGGAGTGATGAAGAATCGGACACAACTAAACAACATTGTTTGTTTACAGACAGTTGCCTTGGAGATGTCATCTTGTGCCGATTGCAGTAGTCATTGTATCACACCCCCCCCGTTCATTGTTTTATTAAGATGGTATGGCAGCCTGATAATCCGATTTAGCCAGTAGAACCAAAGATACAATTGCCTTCTAGTCCATTTCACTGGTTATGCCCGAAGGCATTCAAGGTGATCTCCTTTACTCTGCAGTTTTTGATCCTTGGGAATAAAGCAATACTGGCTTGTCCATTTCATCCAGTGACCATCTTGGTACATACTAAGCAATATATTACATTATTAGTGCATTTGTCCGCACTTGCTGAGATTGACTTGAAATATGATTGGATAGGGATTGTCACAGCTTCTGATTCCTGTGCATTCAAGTAGTCCATTTGACCAAGTTGTACCTCATCCAGGAAGAAGGAACACAGATGAAACTGACCTACGGAAGGCACAAGCCAGGGTGGTGGAAATCATCATGCCCTGAAGTCACACTCATCTGTCCTCACTTTCATTTAACTTAGACCTTCTGACTATAACTGATTCATCAGCCAAGAGAACCTTTTGTTAAGCTTTGGCTTAGGTAGAGCTAGGGTGATGAGAATTCAAAAAATATTGAGAGCAACATATTGGCAACCACTATTCTAGAGGACCATGTGGCATTTCATGAACTTTGGTGTATCACATTGAATTCTCTCCTGGGTAAGGACAGTCCTTCCAGCATTCAACGTTTAGCTAAGGGAATTACTGCAATACACATTGCCAGAACTACCTCATTAACTTATAAGGTAGGTGGCAACCAAGAAGAGGGCCTTTTCTGGGTGGCAACTGAACATGTATCTCTACCCAGAACAGTTTGGTTTTTTTCCATTTTTCCTTTCCGGCAACAAGCAGTAATTATTTTTGGCTGAACTTCTAGAGGCGAAAGATTAAGAACATGTAGTTTTCATTTTGTCTGCTGTTTTACTCCTGACATTTACCTGATTTGGGGATTTATGAGTTAATAAAAAGTCTAGATATCATCTACATATAAGAAGCTGTGGATTACCGAAGACAGCAGTGCCAGCACCGTTAATATTTACAGAGCAGTCCTACTGATAGCTCAACTCAATTTTACAATTAGTGTCAAAAGTGCTACTTCGGTTTAAACAGTTGTAACCCTTTTATTGCCGGTATATAATTTCCATGCAACACTCTTTCACACAATTTCATTTCAGACAGACGCTTTGAGGAAAAGCAGCTTTCAGATATAAATAGCTTTTATTATCCAAGTTTCAGCATATGATGCGTAACATTTCTTGAAAGATTTCATGTGCTACTTCAGTGTAAAGGCTGTAAGCCAAGCTAGAGGGGTCCATGGCGAGTACACCAAGGTCACTGCCACAGCTGGGATGTTTCATTTTAAAACACGGGTCTATAAAATAGCTTGTTCAGAGGCATGCTTAACCCTACAGATATTCTTATTAGAATTCCCCCCATCTTATTAGATTGCTAAAAACAATGAACCTTGAAACAAAGCAACCCTCAGCACCAATTAACCAAGTGTTAAGAATTATGCCAGATTCACGAGCTATCTTACTCACCAATAAAGTGCTACAAAAGCCGCCTCTCTCTCCCTCATCAGATTACATTCTAATCTACAATACAGATCCATCTAGGGAGCTAATATACAACATTGTTCTACAGATGGGCAAGAAGATATCTAAGAGATACATGGAGTTTTTAAAAGTCTCATTTCACTTTGAACACCACAATTAATCACACTAAACAGAAATTCAATTTAACCGAACGAAGTCGAAGGTCTTCAGAAGAGCTTGCTCTAGAACACTTCGCCCACATCGGCCCTTTTATCACGGCACTTGTTTCGAGCCTTCGTCCGGGCTTTGAACGCTGCAGAGTTGTACAAATGCTATAAAAACAGCAGAGAAATGCAATCGGTGTTAACATTCCTTCTGACAACGTTTTGGGGTTATGCATTCATTTTGCACAGACACACCCGTGTATTTGACAACAGTCAATGTGCAAAAATGAGAAAGATTTGTTAAATCTTGTACACTGCCAGCTGACCTTTACATAGTTCTGCATCACTGAGTTCTAAATATTTCAAGTGGTAGTCTTAGCATTAAAAATTAAAATTACAACCACAATACTTTGTTGATGCAATTGCTGCCCAAGATATCGCACGGCTGGAAGAAAATTCTGCAATCCTTATGATTGCTAAGCAACCATGCCAACACAGTTGGGCTTCTCAGATTTATTATCTGTTTCCGTTCTGATTTTCTACCATACAGAACCTGGTAAGAGAGCTAATCGTAACACTGATATCCCGGTCACCGTGAAAGCAGATATGCATAGTAACTGTTGCCAGCAGCTGCCACCACTCCCCAACAGCCCATTATGAAGGCTGTGCACACAAGCTGTGTATCGAGATAAATGGAATTCTAAGGGAAGGTTTACATACTCAGTAAAAGTCTCTGCAAAATGTTCCTAAAGGACACCCCTGCAGAGAAATGGAGTTGCCAAAAGATGGCAGTTCAGAGATGCTCTGCTTGCAAAGGGACACTTATGTGGAGTCAAAGCTGACCACATAAATGAAGTCCCCATGTGAATGTCTATAAATTATATCACAACAACTGAAGTAATTTCCCCCCCTCCTGGTGAGACCCTTCTCGAGGGAGGGTAACCCTTCTCATTCCAGCTTCAAGGCCCCACATGGCATTTAGGCTTTTTAAAAGCTTCCATTGGCGCTAAGGCTTTTAAAAACCCTAAATGCTACTTCAGGGTAGGGACAAACTGGGAGGAAGCCCTGTGGAGCAGAGGTCCCACAACGCAAGACAGCATTTATTTTTGCGGGTCCCTCCGCCATGTGCTATTTTATGATTCTGGGGACAGACTGCTGTTTATTTTTACACTGACCACTTTTTAAAAAGAACTATTTAAACCTATGAACTTTATAAATTTGGTAAGTTGCAATATAGTGCTTTCCTTAGCCATAAGGTTAACTAGAAATGAACGCTTTAATACACAATCGGAAGGTGTATGTTTCAGGTGCGTGGGTGGCTGAAGTGCACGAGCAGAGAGCCCTCAATAATATGGTCTATATATACTTAGGATCATCTCTTCTCCGGCCTGTTGAATTTATCTCTGCCATCACCCCGGTTCTCTGTTATGCCACCTGTACATGCAAATACAGAAAGCCATTCACAGTTGCTATCTACAACTGTGAAACCACCAGCTTCTCTAACAGACTAGAGGGCTGTAACACCTTCTGAAAGAGTAGGCTGTTGGCCCAAACAGTCAAGATGGAACAGATCAAGTTCTTTAAAGTTATTTCTATCAACAAAGTCAAAAAGCAAAGGCTTTTTAGTAGTACAGCTCTGCATATTTGGGGAATTTATTTGGGGGTGGGGGACACCTACTCCAACTCTATCTGTACTGCTTTCCCCTCTTCTTTTCACCAAATTACAATGTCTGCCATGACGGAGAAACCCCAAGCCCAGGATGAGGCAGTGCTGAGCCACATGCTCAGGTTGTGCTACTGAAAGCTCTCTGAAGGTAGAAAAAGACCAAGCAAGACTGTTTCAGTTAGATCAGGGTTTCCCAAAATTGGGTCTCCAGTTGGACTACAGTTTCCACCATCCCTGACCACTGGGGTCCTGGCTAGCTAGGGATGATGGGAGTTGTAGTCCAAAAACAGCTGGAGATTCGTCTGGGAAACCCTGAGTTAGATGCTTTTGTCAGGAAACTAATTCCTGTGCGCCTCAGGGCAAGTGGCAAAATCACAAGGCAGAAACTGCACCAAATTTAAAAACCAAACCAAACCAAGTAAATCAGCTTAACAGAATGTGAGTAACATACCCTTTCAAAACGGGGAATCTTCATGGATTTAAGTGTTGCCTCATCAAGCATCAGTGGCGGCCCGAGTTCAAAGACATTCCGGAGAAGCTCATTGGACTGGATAGAACATTAAGTCATTAGAATTGAGCAAATGTTGCACCTTCAAGTGTTCAACCATTGCTTGTGACATATCGGCTATCAAGAGCTGCTAAATGTGATTGTAGTATCATTTTTGTTTTCTTTCCATGGCTAAAAATCTAGGAGGGTCCTACTCAAGTAGAGATGAGGTAGCACCATAAAGCAATTTCCTGTTCTCTTACCCCAGTTTGTGTTTTTAAAGTACTTTAAAAAGCACTAAGTACCACTGCCATTCTACTGAAAGTTTTTAAGTTTACCTGCAAATGGTATTGTATCCCCGATCCTAAGATTTCCTTGAAAGTATCGTATGTTTGTTTTTTAACCCAGCAGTCAATGTACATGCGTTCAGGTCCAAATTTGACTGTCTCTGTAGGGAAGTCATGCTCCTGTCAAAATAAACAAGCAGTCAATCTCAGGAAAGTGTGGTTTTAGAAATGCAACTTACAGCTGAATGCACCCTAGCTGCCGCTGCAAACTAAGACAGTACATTGCTTGACTCTATTTGTAAAAATCATGCTAATTTCATGACTTATTCTCAAGTGGAGGTAGCTGAGCCAGACTCCAATGTATGCCTCCCAAATACTGTTGCAGGCCTTGGATTCTCGATAATTTGCTCTCATTATAAACATCAGATTAAAATATAAGAATTAAAAACAAATCCTGTGAAACACAATTTTTGGACCTAGTTGCTATCTCAATGTACTGGGTCCCCATCCCCCTTTAATGAAAGCAATTCAGGAATTATTCATGACTCAAGATTCACCTTTGACTACAGGTTAGTCCTCTGACAGCAGTTTGCTCTTTAGACAAAGCCAGTATCTCTAGTGAAAAACCTGAAGTTTCAAAAGCACCCCTCCCCAAAATGATATTCACTAAGCAAAAGTGGCCTCCATGGATGCCGTCATTAGTACTAAAAATAAAACAAATGAGATCAGGTACAATATATTCAATAGGCGTATCTTAGAACTGAACAACGTCCCATATACTAAAAAGAACACGCTTTTCAAAGCACTTGCTTTTCAATGATGAAGTCTTAACCAGTAACGTTTTATACACTTTTTTACATTTGCTCATTCCTCTTTACCTCTACAGCCCGCAAGACATCTCTGAAGACAGACCGCTGTTTCCTTTTGTCCACTTTGGCACGGTGCTTGTTCCCATCTGTAGCTAGAGCCTTCAGTTTCTGTGTTAGAAGCTCCATATCTTCATAAAAGAAATCCTAGTCAGACGGGGAGGGGGGAATAACATGTTATTTGTGGGAATTGAACTTGTTGAATATTTTGCAAACTGTATTTCACATTTCACTGAGAATGGCTCAACTGTCAAACAAATCTTCATTAAATGGAGAGATCAAGTTATAACAATACTAAAAGCTAGGTGTTCTGAGAGGTTGTAGGATAAAATAGCCCTCCCTTTAAGGGCAAAATGTCTTCTGAAGTCTACATTTGCTTCTTCTATCCATCACCCTGAAATTTAGAAAGGGGAGATTATTCTTTGTCCTAACTGGAAACTGTAAATTAACCTGATGATTATTGTGCATGCTGGGTTTCGTTGTTTTAAATTGTTTTGTTGCTGCGACCTAGCTTGGGACCTTTTGGTGAAGTGTGAGAAATCAATATATTATTATTATTAAGGTTATAAAGTGTCTTTTAATAGGGGTTTGTTTGGGAATGTAGCCACCATTTCACTGCTCTGATGTGAGTAGCTTCATGTGAGTAGATGCTGAAATGGTTCTGCATTTCATAACTCTGGTTTAACAGGTCTCCTCTCTCCATTCATGACAACTAAAACTGAGTCAGCTATTGATTCCACCTTTTACCTCCCACATTGTTTATATGTGTGTTTCAGTAGCAACACTGAATATCTTATGTTTCCTTCTCATCTGACTACACCTGTCTGCCCAAGTTGTTCATCACATGATCCTATGTAATGTCTTTATTGGCTGTTCCTATGAATGGAAAAATTTAATAGTGACAGCTCAATCACTGAAACAATGAGTAGGCTGAAGGATTATTTGTTTTTTGGCAGTGTGTAGGAGCCAATGTTAATGAGGTCAAACAGATGCCATTAACCAAAGTCAAATGCTGTAATCACAGCTTAAAGTTTTGAACGTTTATTTAGATATCGTGCAATGGACTGGCTGTCTTGACGAATCTAGTTATTCTTTTTTCTACCATCCTGGGTCACCTAGAGGTTTTTATAGGTACCTTACCAAGACAGGTACATAGTTAACTTGAGACTTTTTTCTTCAGTACTGTTAAAGAAAACAGTAAAGATATTAATAAAACCACTTTAAAATATGATAAAGCAAATTACAGAAGTCTGAAACAATAATGAACTAAGATGATCTTATTGTATCCGCTGCCTATATGCTACTAGGTTCAATTCAAGATTTTGGTATTTAAAGAAACTTGCAGTCATTGCAGGTTGTCCTGCCTCATGCTGTTGCTCTGTTTTTATTAACTGGAGTAAAAAAAAATTCTCATTGTATTTTTATGTATTGGTGGAAACCACACTAGAATGATAATCATGTTATGGGGAAAAGTCTACAAATTTGGAGAAATAAATAATTTCCCATATAACTGGCATCTCATGTAAGTTTATGATTATGGGAGTGATGTGTTCTCTCTCTCTCCCCCTCCTTCCCTCTCTCACACACTGAATTAAAACACTGCAGGGTCACACGATCTATCGCACTCAAGGGACATGGTAAGACATAACACATAGAATGACTTCAACTCCTCAGAAATATGATCCTGATTTTTGCAGGTGTTTGATTAGTTGCTACTGAAATATTACATTTGAGCCAGATTCTAATAAGACCTATGTATGATCAAATGTTATTCATATGCAGAAAGCCATTATTTCTCCATCAGATACACGAAACGCCCAAGATATAGCATAGAAGCTATTTACAAAAATATGCTCTCCCCATCTCTTTCCCTGCAGAATCATTCTCTGAACTTACCCCATCTGTTTCTCTTGCTAGTTCAAACAGAAGAGCCAAGGTTTCCCCAGCAGCAATCCTCATGTTGACGTCGTCACAGGATAACAGGATGGGAAATTTATGCAAATGCCTAGGAAATTTGGGAGCATGTTATTGATCTGCGTTACTGCACACAAAGCCATATTTGATTTAAACTGCACTTCTGGGTATGGTTTCCAAGGGAACAGAATACGCACATTTCAAGTTTCTTCTTCACTTCATTCATTGGGCAGATGGTTAACAGAAGCGTCCATGCCAAGAGAGCGCTGATGTGCAGAACTGTATTCTGTGTACTGGAAATGCTATTTGAATTCCTCTCGTTCTGATAGGATTTTGTGAAGATATTTTCCAGGCATTCCATGGTTGTATACAATTCCTGGTTTAAGAAACAGACCGAGACAGTTTAATTCACTATTTGATCTGGACTGGTTAATTCATTGCTAAATAATACCGTTCATAAAAACGTTTGCTTACTGTGATATCATCAGTGGCAATAAAGCAACAGACTCCTAAGCAGGTGGCACACTAGAAAAAAAGAAACAGAAGTTAATGCTTTTAACTTTACTGCTACATTTTGTGCTCACAGAACAGACAAAAAATGAGTGAGGCTGTGGTTTAAATCATATAACATGCTTGTGTCCTTGTCTTCAGACAAGACAACAAAGCATCCTTTAACAGATCAGTCAGCCACACACTTTGCAAGTGGTTTCATACAAAAACAAGGAATGTTTACGGTTTTGTCACTGTCTTGGCCAGATCTCAATGTTTAAGGAAGCATGTTACAGGAAAACACCACTCCCAGCTCCCTAGTGGTCTCTCCTTCCTTCCTGGCTAGCTCTAATACTTCCAAGGGACATTACCCACCAAACCTGCAAGAAACATTCTGAGTTACAATTGCTGTTTTTATCACTGTGCACCAAGGGTCACCAATGTGGTGCTTGCAAGCAAATCTACACCCACAGAGGCCTCCTTCTCCCTGGCGATATCAAGCTTGAAATAAACGTTTTAGAAGAGGTTGTAGTGTACGCTTGGTTGCAGGTGTGTGTGTGTGTGTGTGTGTGTGTGTGTGTGTGGTGTCCACAACTGCCTCTCCATCCTGTGGAAGTTTCCATGGACCCAAAACGGTTGCCATGCACTGTCGCCAGCAACCCTACCACGGAGAGTAAGCGTGACACACAGGCATTGCCTGATGGTTCAAGACTAAGTTATAAGCCTTGATGCCAAGTCTGCCAAAGAATAAGACACCAATTGACCAGGGAAACATTTTAAGGCCCTCAGGTTCCAACACACACACGTCACTGCAATATGGGATACAAGGCATCCACTTGCACTTCTTCATCCCAAGTACCAACTTTTTACTTACAGCTTGCCTTGCTTGTACACTTGCTGACGCGTCACAGAGAATCTTCTTCAGAATCGGCGCAAGGGTCTTATATATTTCCTCACTTTCAATTCCTGACCCCAGCTGCACACAAAGCAGACAAGCCAATCCTGCTGCTGCACGCTGCTCATCGCTCTTGCCTAAACACAGAAAGCCAGTCATGACTTGGTAGAACTAAATACGACAGCAATTAAACCTGACAACAGAATAATGCTATTTTATAGGAAAAGAGATGCACATTACCTTTCTTTATACAGCGTTCGATGCTATCTGTTAGCGTCATTCTCCTTTCCAGGATGAACTCGTACAGTATTTTTGAAGACAGGGCATTTTTAAGACCTTCAAGAGCTGACTGCCTTGTCTTCGCACTATTGGAGAGTTCATGGTAAAAGGTCAGTTGAAAGCTCTGTGCTGCAAATTTCAATCTGGTTGTGTTATGCATGCTTTAGATTCCACCTCCACCTCCTTCCCAAAAGGCAGAACAACATTTAAGGCTAAGATTTGCAAAGCCAAGATTTGAAAAACTACTTATCAGAGCTTCCCATACTAGCACTCAACCTCTGCTGTGGCAGACACCACATTCGCCCAATTTCTCATTCTGCAATCCTTAATGTCTCAATGCCAAGGAAACACTGCTCATAAAATGTTTTCTCTTCACAGCTCTTTTCCCTTTCTAGGCATAGGGAAAGACTCTTAATCCAACATCTTTAGGAAAAGAGCATTTGAGGGAATGGTAACTGGAGGAAGGTAGATATGGCAGGGAATAAGACTCAGGTTTAAATTGAATAAATTCCCAGTGCCTTTAGAAAATGACAGAGTGCTTTCTTGAAGTAGTGGTGAGCTGAGAAATCATGGCAGGCAAGAACATTGAAAAATGATGTGGGTAGAACAAGCTGAAAAAAAGTCACTTTCCCTATTATTATCTATTCCCAAATTAAGACATGATGAAGGCTGACTTACACAGTAGCTATCCTAAATGTATCCTAAATCATAGGATTTGCTGCCAAGCTAAGATACAACTTCCTAAACAAATCTGCCCTTGGGTACAATAATTATTACTTATTAAACTTCTATACTACCCTTCATCTGAGGATCACAGGGCTGGGTTACAATATTATAAAGCTCCTATGACCTCATGGGAAAGCTCTAGCCCACAATTTGCAAAATCTTTTAAGCCAGCCTCCTAAACCAGGTATCTTCCAGATGGTGCTAGACTCTTAATTTGCCCACCAACCCCAGACAGTGCTCAAGGATGATGGGACAGGAGCCCTAAACATCCGGAGAACAAACATCCAGATGGCTAATTTAAGCTTTTACTTCTCAGACCTCCCATACCTCTTGTCCAACGTGAGGTCAATTAATCCCTTCAGCTTGTACTCCAAATCTTCTTGCGTTGCTTCCTCATCAACTTCAGGCCCTACACATATGTGACAAGACAGTACGATTACAATTAATAAACCTAGCCTCACAGAATGAGTCTTCAGAGTCTTGTGGAAATTATACATATCTGATTTAATCCATGTAAGGTCTCCTCCACTTCTGCCTGGCCACCAAGCCTTCAGTGGAGGATCTGCTCTGTGTATTTCTGGTCTGACCCCGTAATAAATCAATTCATTCATACTTGATCTGCTCTGTGTTCCACTGCTGGGCAATAGTGGAGTTGGCAGGTAGATGGGGCTGGACCTCCACTATGGCAGCCAGGTTTAGGAACTGGCCCCATTACTAAAGGTGTTTTGATGCCATGTAAAAACATTTATTCATTTGTGGAGGGGGAGAATAATCTGGACAAATAACCCCCCTAGAGTTTCTACTTGTACAGTGGACCCTCCGGATACGAATCAAATTCATTCCGGGAGTCCCTCTGCAACTTGAAAAGTCCGTAGGCAGAAACGCTGCTTCTGCGCATGTGGCAAAACCCAAAAGTTATGTATCCAGAGCGGTACGTAACTAGAGGGTCCACTGTATACTCTTTCAGAAAGGGGGCTTTGTGAGTACTCAACACAACAATTACCTTGTAGTAAGCAAAACTTGCTTCACTCAATGACTAGTCTACTCCAGATAATAATGTGAACGTGTAACACAAATATATGAAACATAAATTCTTTGACTTGCCTTAGTTTCATAAAGGAGCTACAAATTAGACCCCCCCCCCCAAGTTATCTTGAGGGTTGGGTGCTTTTAAATAAAGTAGCATTTCGAAATAAAATATACCACATTCAATCCAAACCAAACTCTTTCCAAATGTAATAAGCATTTCATGTCTGCAGTAGTTTCCTAATAAGACACAAAGGTTAACATACCATCCTCAGTGATGCTGGAAGGATCACTGAAGCCACTGCAGTGACTCATAGTTTCAATTGATGCATCTTCATCACTAAAAGACTGCATATTTCTGTGCTGGGCACCTAGGAAAAGCATTTGGAGCAGTCAACATTAACACAGGATAATACTCTGGAATGTCTACGCCATCAAGACCAATATACTGCCAATTTTCTATTTCTAAACCCTAGAAGTAGGGGTCCACTGCAGACAGAATTATGTGCTGGGAAGGAAGACCAACTGACAGCTATATCTCAAAGACAAATTATTTCAACAAGCCATAGTTCTGTCTTACCGTATATGCGTGGCAGCCTGTTTTCAAACTATTCTGCTATCATCTATTCTTAACTGCCTAAGTTCTTTTAACCTCCCAGTATCTGCACATTAAACAAAGTGTAACATTCCTCTGCTGTCAACCATTTGCAACATGGTACCCGGCAGAATTTCTCTGGCCAAAGAACAGCCTTGTTGGCATAGAAGTAAACTTTTACTAAAACAAAATGGGAGGCATGCAGTCCAACACACAGCAAGTATACAAATGTGGCAGGAGCAGTTTAAAAGACTACCCTATTATGCATGTTGCATTTCTCTCTTCAACTTCATTTGCAGGCCCAATCACAACTATTACTATGGGGCACCACTAAAAAACCACTAAATATAGATATTTTTATAAAGTTTTTAAGTCACAGTATCAAACTCAGGTAGAATAAACAGAAAGCATCAGAATTCTCAACTCTTGGGGCGGGGGGTCAAGCAATATCTAGCCAATTTCACTGGGTTAGAATTGCTGTATACTTACCACACTGGCCTCACATGTTAATTTTATCAACAGCAACAACACATAATTACATCACTGAGGTTGCATAAATGTCTAGTGACTAATCGTCTTCCAAGATGCCTAGTTCTCATCTTTTTATTTTGAGCAATGAGCAACACCTTGCTGCTTTTAGACCTATTAGATGATACCTGTCACAGCCTTGCAGGTATTTTCAGATTACCAGGAGAACCGAAGAGTTTATTTCTGTGTATAATTTAAATGGTACCTAAGACTGAAATATATCACTGCATATGAAACAAAGCTAAACAGATTAGATTTGAGCAGCAAGTTGTATTATTAATCTGTGCCTTTACAATTTATATTGCATTTTGAATCTTTTCCCATCAAGCACACAATATGGGTCCGATTGCTCAATCTTTGTGAGCATTTGTTTAGGATAGAGGCCTGAAGGAACATAACCACATAGTTTTATTTATTGCTTCACCACAAAATCTAAAGCTGTCCATAGCAAATACCAAAATGATTGGAGACTTGTCCTCCCATTTAAAGCCTTTCAGTGTCCACAAATACATTTACATAAGTTGTTCTCTGTCTCGATTTCATCTTGGCCCGATATACCTGAAGGAGCATCTCCAACCCCATCATTCAGCCTTCTGAGTCTTCTGGCGGCTCCCTCACTGCGAGAAGTGAGGTTACTGGGAACCAGGCAGAAGTTCTTCTCGATAGTGGCACCCTCCCTGTGGATCACCCTCCCAACAGATGTCAAGGAAATAAGCATCTATCTGACTTTTAGATGGCATCTGAAGGTAGCCCTGTATCAGGAAGTTCTTAGTGTTTGATATTTTATTATAAAGTGCTGGAAACCGCCCAGAGAGTCTGGGGAAACGGGCAGGGTATAAAAAATAAATTAATTTATTATTAGTAGTAGTAGTAGAAATAGTAGTAAATCTGTCTGTGCTTGGCTACCGAGACCATAAACACATGACCTTTCAAACACATCTATTTGGAGGGGATCCCTAACCTGGCAGAGAGAGAGGACCTGAAATACAGGCCAGGTGGCAACCTTAACAGAGAACAAGAAGCTCGCTTCCCGCCACCCGTGGGGGGAAGCCAAGCAGAGAACTACAGCCCCCATTACGCCCCGCGGCGGGGGCGCATGCGCGCCGGCTCCCTCACCTGACGTTCCGCGCGGGTGACCCCCTCCCCGCCGCTTGGACTTGGGCATGGCAGCGGCCTTGTAGCGGCGACGGCTTCGCGCGCGGCTCCTTCCCGGTGCTCCCTCTCTGGGGTTCTCGTCGGCCTGGCTTTTGTTTCTCCCCCTCGCCCGGGCAGCGCTGACAATCAGCCGATGGAAGAGCAGGAGCGCTTTTTATTATAGAAACGTCTCTGTGAGGCCGGCTTCCCGGACCGAGGCAGCGGATGCGATTGAGGAAAGCAGGCGATAGGCAAAGCTGTAGCAGCGGCAGAAATCCCCGTGGATGCCCGTGAACGGAATCGATACATGTTTCTCCTCTCAGACGCCAAGGAACTAAAGGCGGGGGACTGACGCTGACGTGGCTTTTATAGGGAACCCAGCGGAGGCGGAGGCGGTGTAGTGACGTTACAGGGGCGTGGCTTGGAAACGACCAATGGCAGCCGCAGGTTTCCGTGACGTACAAGAGGGGAGCCGCGCATTGACCTCTGGGGCGTGTGGTTTCCCCCCCCCAAGTATCCCTTTCTCTCGAAGTTCCGCGGTCGTTTACAAGGGCGGTGCCTCTCGCAGCTGCCGCTTCATTTCTTCCCCTTCCAGACATAAGGGATCGTTCCAGGCCCCCGTGGCATGCTGGGAACTGTAGTCTGTACCCTTTCCGGGGCCATTGCGGTACACGGCGGTCTCACGTCGGCCGCCTTGCCTCCGTCGTTGTCCTCAGATAACCTCCTGGTAGTTCACTGTTCCAGACAGAAACTGAGGCGAAGGTTATTCGCTTGCACAGCCCTCGAGCGGAGGGTCGGGATGCATGAAATGATATCAGCTCCTCCTTAGCCCTGGAAACTTTGAAAGCCCAAATAGCACTTTAAATATATTTTAACATAGGGACAGTGATTTATGATTTTTATTCTTTTATTATTAAGTTTATATACTGCCCCATGCACGCAGATCACAGGATAAAATCACAATATAAAACCACAAAATACATAATCAAAATAAAAACAAGAACAACCCAATAACTCCCCGCAAATAATCAGAGAGGGAAAACAGAATTTAAAACACATGTACACAATACTTGTAATAAAAAAATAAGACTTGAAGAAATCACACCCTAAGTAGACTGGTAGTAAGTACATAGTTACCAGCATACATACTCTCCAATATTTCTCCATTGAAAATAAGGATATCCTCTTCAATAATAATAATAATACTAATACAGTCACTCTGGGCAGCTTCCAATATACATAAAAATATAATGAAGCAATAAACTTTTTTTTTTAAAAAAAACCCCACCTTTCTTATACACTGCATGCTTCAGATGATTTCTAAAGGTTGTACAGTTACTTATGAAAATAGGGATGTCCTAAGGAATAGCGGGACATTTCAGGATCAAATCAGAAACTGGGACAGCTTCTGTAAATCCAGGGCTGTCCCTGGAAAAGAGGGACACTTGGAGGGTCTGCAGAAGACACATACTTTAAACATATATTTGATTTTTCTGATCATTAGGATTTGGACATTGATACCCTTACACATGTTTATTCACAAATACAGTAACTGTAATCCTATCCCCACTTACCTGGGAGTAAACCTCACTGAATTACTTATGAGTGGACATTAGGATTGCACAGTACGTCCCACTGAGTTTAATAGAGTTTACTTTCTTTTCTGTTTACCAGATTGGAGTGCAAATTTAAATGAAAATGCCTACAAAAAGAAGAGTACAGTAGGGGACATTTTTAGTATAGATTATTTTATTCTGGCACAGCTTTTCGTAGGCACCTGTCTACAAAAGTACATAAGAGTCCTGCTGAATCAGAGCAAGGGTCTATTTAGTCCAGCCTACATAGATCTGGGGGACGCGGGTGGTGCTGTGGTCTAAACCACAGAGCCTAGGGCTTGCCGATCAGAAGGTCAGCGGTTCGAATCCCCGTGACGGGGTGAGCTCCCGTTGCTCGGTCCCTGCTCCTACCAACCTAGCAGTTTGAAAGCATGTCAAAGTGCAAGTAGATAAATAGGTATTGCTGCGGCAGGAAGGTAAACGGCGTTTCCGTGTGCTGCTCTGGTTTGCCAGAAGCGGCTTAGTCATGCTGGCCACATGACCCGGAAGCTGTACGCCGGCTCTCTCAGCCAGTAAAGTGAGATGAGCGCTGCAACCCCAGAGTCGTTCGCAACTGGACCTAACAGTCAGGGGTCCCTTTACCTTTACATAGATCTGGGAATCTGGACAGCCTCCCTCCTTGTCCCTCAGACAACTAGTATTAAGGGTAACCTGCCTCTGAATACTCAGTCAATTCCTTTGAAGAACCTCAAATTCTAGTGTTGTGAGACTGGAAGAGAATTTTCTTTCCAGTTTATCCAAACCACATACAATACTATTATCTCTACCAAATCCTGCCCCCTGCCTGGTTGCCTTCATTGTGGCTGGTTGATATTAAACAAAAACAAACCAACCAAGTCTGTTATTTCTGTCCCTTGTAGCTCTTGTAGACTGTAGCTTACAAAAGCGTATGCCAGCATATATTCATTTGTTTTTAACAACTTTTAAAGCAATTTAAATTGTGCAATCCGATGCACAATTACATAGGATAGGAGTAAATCCCATAGAACAGAGTGGGGCTTAGTTCTGAGTAAAAATGCATGGAATGCATTGTCAAGTACTAAATAAAATAAGATTACATCACATTTGCCCAGACACTATATAGCACTGAAGGCTTCAGCTGATGGTCAGCAGAGAGCAGGTTTGCCACATGACCTCACTTTCCATTTGTAGCAGTTGTATCCGTGGAAGCTGCTAAAAATAGAATATATTTCTTATTTCTATGTCATAAACAATCTTTCTGGTTACATAGGTTTAGGTTGATTAATAGATACATGTGGTAAGATGCTGAGATCATTATGACTAATCTATTGTGTATAATTACTTAGGTCATACATTTCACAACATGATGACAAGAGCTTAGAAACAATTACATGTACAAACTCTCTTTGTGTGTCACTCCCTTCGAAGTCAACTATGAACATTCCTTACATTAGGTTTTCTCCTATATAATTATTGATCTGAGCTTGACCCAACCTATGACAACCATCTATGAAATCTGGATACTACTGATATTCAGTTCCAAAAACCAACATCCTGTCGAAATCCATGTTTCCCGGGGAAATTGTCTATCCAAATTTTAAACGGGAGCTTGGCTTTCAGATGGAGACAGAACAGTTTTCTTGTTTGATGTTAATATTTCAGCATAGATGGGTGTCCTGTCTATAACCAAGGTACAGTTCACCCCCTTGCTGAACAGCATTACCTTAATCTGTGTATGTATGGCAGTATACTAAATATTTAAACCTTTGGAAGGAATTTCACATCGTCTCTGTTCTATGGCAGCTGGGAACCAGGACATTGTCCTTACATTATTTACTTTAGGCATCAGCTTAATATATATGTCTTCTCAGGCCTATGGTATTGGAGCTAACCTTTTAGAAAACATACAGATTCAGGGCTAGTCTGAATTGCAATTGAATTTGCTTCTGTTTGGTTCAGTGCCAAGGCCACAAGTATCTGCCTTCTGCTCCTCAATTTGGATCGCATACAGTGACCAAAACCGACTAGCTTTCTCTGAAGCAACAACTGGGATGTCTCAGAAGATGCCTTGCTGTGGTTTCTGCTTCACATTGCCCTTTCAGTTCAGATTTTCACAGCTGCACAAAATGTGAAGGTATTAAAAAAAAGAAGTAAAAAAAACCCAATTGTGTGGAAGAACATCTGCTCCTTCTACCTTTTTAAAGTTATAATAACTAGAAGAATGGAATTTGTTCAGTCAAAGCTGGGACAATGGCCGGGATGAGTGAAGACGATGAGCTATATTGGGATGGGATGAGACAGAAAACTGCACAGCACAGAAATTCCATGGGTGTGTGTTTGTGCGGTGTATTATTACACAGCACCAGAGCTTTCTCTTGCTCTAGGGTTTTTTGGGTGTGACATTAGAATACCATTGTAGTGACTAGTAGGGACTGACTCAGAGCTTTAATTATAGCAGTGGCAGGAAGTCGGACAGGAAAGGGGTTTTCTAGGCAAGCTGTAGTTCTACTAATCTATGTAATATACTTTCTGGCAGCAGCATTCTACTCCAGAGCTATGGTAAAGATCAAATTCCAAAGCTCTTTTCGCTGGTCACCTGCAAAACTGGCTTTTTGATGTTTGGCTGTGTGCATATTAAGAGACAAGGATTGTAAACTGTTATATACATGCATGCTATTTATAGGATACCATATGACAAAAAGTTACCTAGGCAACTTGCAAAATAAAAACAAAGTTTTAAAAATGCAATAAAAATGCAATATGCAATACAGCATTAAAACACCAAATATTATTTTTTAAAAATATATCAGTAGAGCTACAATTAAAAGGTACAACATGAATTAAAAGGCTTGGGGAAATGAAAAAGTATTTACCAGGTGCCAAAAAGCCTTTAATATAGGTGTAAAGCGGGCCTCTTTTGGGGTACCACCAGTGTTCGAAACTCCCATTGTTCTAGGTGCATTTTGTGACAGGGAATTTCATTCATGCGAGCAGTTTCTGAGCTCTGGGCGTAGTACTGAGCCTAAGATTTCAGATTAAAACTGCACAGTAGAAGGAAAGGAGGACCCTTTTCTGCCACCCCACTTCCAGCCACTCTCTGAAGACTAGAGAAGGCACCATCATAAGAATATTAGAGTGGCAGGCAGGGGAAGTATGGATTTGAGGTTTTTTTGCAGTCCTCAGATGAGGACTAGACCATGTGAAAAATGAACAAAATATTTTAGCTGCAGGCCATTCATTTTCAGCTTTGTATTCTTGTTATAAAAAGGCGCGCCTAGGCACTCCATTGCGGTGCCCATAACCTAGGTTTATGGTGCTATTTAGCTCCTAGCTTTCATATTTCAGTTTCTAACACTGAGTACCACCACTGAAAAATGGTCCTTTCACCACCGCAGGGGAACTCAAAGAAGAATCTCATAAGAAGATCTCAACGTCTGGGTAGGTAATTGAGGGAGGAGATTATTGTTCAAGCACTAAGGTCACAAATCATGAAGTGCAATTGGAAGCACTGTGGAATAAATGATGAATTAATAAATCTGTAAAATCAGTACATTTTTAACTTTAGTAATGCCCTACAGTACATATAGCCAGTTTCACAATGATAGTGTTATTTGTGCCTTGGCATGGTCTAGTGTTCATATATGTGTACAGACAGCTACATAAAGAAACATAACTTCTGAACAGAACCTAAGGATTTGCATTCTTATGTATCATTACTTGCTACTGTCATTACTTAACTGTTTGACTGATTTAATTGCTCTATTTTAAAAAATAACTTTGATTTTTTTTTTGAACAATGAAGCAGTACATAAATTGCATAAAAATAAAAATATGAAGCCCCATTGAACTCAGGAGATTCAATGTAAATTTTCAGAGAAGTAGGCTTTTGAACACTAGATTTTTCCTTATAAATTGGAGACTTGATCATAGTACATCATTAAGGATATTCAGTATGTGGGAATAGATACCTTCCTTTTAAAGACAGAGGGCACTTCCTTAGTCTAAGTCATTTAGATTGCTGCATACACATATATTTCTAATAGCTTTTATACACAGGTGAAGGTACAATTGACTGAGCAGCATGAGCACAGTGAATCACCCTGAGTTACAGCGGGCAATTAGCAATTTCTGCCGAACTCTAATAGAGGCTCGCACACTGAGCAGCATTGCATTCTGGGAGCTGTTAGCTCTGCAATCAGCATTCCAAAACAGTGAGGCAGATATTTATTTAAAGCATTTTAATCCTGTTCCTCAGCCAAAAAAGTCTTCTGAAGAAGTTTACAAACCGAACCGACTAACCAAACAAACAAAAACTGTTGGGAGTGGGATCTGCTTCCTATTATTGTTCCCTCTGATGCCGTCTGGTAGCCTAGTAAAAGCCAAAGGCAGCTGATCTTTTAGTAGAGCTAATAAGATGGTGATTCTAAAATAGCATCAAGCAGCTTGAACCTGTACGCAGAGAGCAGGTTGTGGTGGCCTTTTTGAAGGACCCAACCCGCACTTCACTGGCAATCAGTGTAGATCAGGGAAGGAGAAACTGTGGCCTTCCAGATGTTGTTGGATGTCTGCAAAAGCACACTGTGAGTTCACCTTTAAATAGTTAAGTGTAACTATTGTTTAAAGTGATATGTAAAACTAGGCCACTGAACCCAGTATCACATTATGGGTACAGGAAATGATTCTTATGATTTTAGCCTTTTTGCAAGATGAGGAGAAGCATGGTCGGCATCCTTAACCCTTCAGCAGCTTTGGGCTCCACCCTGGCTAGGCATGCCAACTCTAGGGGACAGAGGTGGCATCAGCCCCCTCAATATTCCTTAGCAGGGGCTCAGCCCTCCTCCCCTCATATTGAGGGGAGAGGGGAGGCCGAATCACCAATCTGAGCTTGGTGTAGCATCAAAGGCAGGCTCCTCCTGAGCGCAAGAGAGGAGCAGCCGTGGCCATTGAAGCTGCACGGCACTGGGCAAGGCCTCCTCTTGACGACGAGTGTGTGACATCACAGATGCGCAATGCGCATCACGTGCATGATGTCACACGCATGCTGTACCACTGAGCCCCACAAATCTTCGGCCCAAGGCAGCGCCTCTGATTCTGCCTAAACCCTCCAGAGCTTCCTGGGTTCTCATCCCCTGGTTAGGAGGTTTTTCAGTTCATGAGTTAGTTCCGGAAAATCTTTAAGCATTTGATAATGAGTTCAACTGCTGTATGAAGCACTATTCCCTTCAACATTAATGTGCACGGCAATTTCCACTCTTACCAGCGATAACGACTTTGGGTCATGCTACCACTTCTCTGTTAGTAAATAAGTTCAGGTAAAACTGAGGAACAGCCAAGCCAACTTCTTAAGTGTAACTTCAAAATGCAGTTAAATTGAGAATCCGCTACTGCGTGTGGTGCCATTTGTTGCATGGAAATAGAAAACAAACACATTTTATTATTATTATTTATTCATTTTTTACATTTCTATCCCAATTTCCCCCCTCATGGAAGCCAAGATGACATACTTGTGGTTCCTGCACCCATCAGTGCTCTAACCAGACCCAGACCTGTTTAGTTTTGGCAAGGTAGTGGCAACCTGCGCCATCCTTTAAACAATATCCAGAAACCAGATATTATTTATTAATTAAGTAATCTCTATACTGCATTATATTTTTAAGAAATATTTCAAAGCGGTTTACAGCATATGAAACCAATAAAACACAAATAAAACAATCTGAAGAAAGTTAAATATAGAGCATACAGTCAAAGCAACATAACAGAAAACTAAAATATTATCTTAAAGATTTCAAAATAAAACATTACAAAGGAGGTCAACTACAGAATACTTATTTATCATCGTAGGGCTGGTGAGTGTGGGCCTCGCCCCCTAGGCCAGGTGGAAAGGGCCTTGAAGAGAGCAGCCATCACGCCCCACAGCCAGGCGATGTTCCTCTGGCCTCATGAGGACCCTCTTCAGTAGGGCTAGTGAGTGTGGGCCTCACCCCCTAGGCCAGGTGGAAAGGGCCTTGTAGGGAGCGGCCTTCACGCCCCACAGCCGGGCGATGTTCCTCTGGCTTCATGAGGAGCCTCTTCAGTAGGGCTGGTGAGTGTGGGCCTCACCCCCTAGGCCAGGTGGAAAGGGCCTCACAGCCGGGTGATTGTCACTAGACCCCTCGTTAAGTTCATATTGAAATGTAGCTGATGGTGTGTACCCTCAGCAAGTAGAGTACTTTAGGTTTTACAGGAACACAGGGCCGTAGCTAGGGGGTGGCCAGGAAGGCCCCCGCTGGGGGCACAGGCGGCCCCCCCCGCAAAATCAGCTTTAAAATTGTCCATAAATATGTCTACAAATAAAAATATTGATTATTGCCTCATAAGAATTGAATGGGGGGGGGGGGTTGGAAGAGAGGCAGAAAGAAGAGCTAATTTGTCTGTGGCTAGGGGGCGCAATCTGGACGGTTCTGCCAGGGGTGCAAGATCACCCAGCTATGGCGCTGCTTGGATGCCCTCTTTATCTATCTTTTTGTTGGGATAGATTACAAAGGCAGGAACCGTATAGTTTGACTACTTCCTACAACTTCCTCTCAGCTGACCATCTCCAGAGTGCAATTCTCTTTCTCCAACATTGTCTGTATGGAAGGTAGCAAGTGAGTTATCTGCATACTCATCCACAATCGAGAACCTTGGATCTGAAGGGGTTAGGTCACTTAATAATGAAAAAATAATAATACATTGGTCTTACATTCAAACAAAGCCCAAAGGAAAAATCAGATGACTATGTTGAAAAATGTGTAGGGAGCCTGTGAAGATCAGTGCTCAACCAGGAAGGGTGAACTGATCACCCTTTTCTCACTCCTGGACTGTTCTTCCACCTTTCGTGTTGACATCATCTGATTCTGATTCTAATATTCTCCTAGCCCCTTCCTCACATTCTGCAGGGTTACCGTAGAAACAGCAAGAAACAACTTTGCATCATCGCTATTCCGTTGCCCACTTCTTACCGGACGCTTGATCAGTAAGCAGTGCGAGGAGTTCTCTCAGCACTCTCTATTTGTGTTACTTCAGCATTCCTATCAACATGGCAGGTAGGAAATTGTGCCATCGTGATGTTCACATGTTCCGCTTCATTGTCCCATGAAGCAGACAGAGAAGCCAGCTGAGAAGTTAAGGATTTATAGCTGGGGAATGGATTAAATCATTGGACAACTTAGAGACGGTAACATACATACAAGTGGATGCTATGATAGACAGCAAAAGAAAAGGGAGAAAGGGAGATGCCCTTAAAAACCTACCCCAGTTAGTCAAGGTCCCAGTACCCCGCATGGGGCTTAGATAAGACATGACTAAGGCCCATTCAATGGCCTTCAATGGGACTTAGTCTTGAATATATCTTTCACTAGATATGCCAATAAAGTCTGAGGCTCCTTCAAAATCATATTTATTTTTGGTACTACTGTCAATCTACATTGCACTTGTCCAAAGCAGCTTACAAACCAAGAGTTTCCAGGCAGCAACAACACAAAACATCAGTTTGGGAGGAAAAGAAGTAGATAAATATCCATGAATGATCCACATTGATCCAGAACCAAAAGCACTTTGGTTAGATCAGGCTTCCTCAACCTCGGCCCTCCAGATGTTTTTGGCTTACAACTCCCATGATCCCTAGCAAGCAGGACCAGCGGTCAGGGATTATGGGAATTGTAGCCTCAAAACATCTGGAGGGCCGAGGTTGAGGAAGCCTGAGTTAGATTCTGTTCTCATGTGAGAGCCTAAAATAGGAATTGTTCTTTAGATGAATGATGGTCTTTGTTTCTGTTGTAACCCCTATCTCACTGAATTATAGAAACAGGTAAGCATATCAGATGTAAGATTTAGCGGGTGCCTGTGACTTCACTAGGTATCCAGATTAACCCAGTCAAAATTGGGGGGTACCAACCAGGGGAGGAGTGTATCGTAGGGCTTGTTGTGACTCAAACTTGTCATAACTTCAGTTACTCTTCTCCTAATGGATGTCTTTTCTATCCTTGCACCTTCAGTTAAGGCCAACTGCCCATCACTGCATCATAACATTCTCTGGCCAGTTAGAAGCTTGGAGGTCACTGTGGTGACAGCTGGAAACAGGTTCACATAACCCCAGTTCCAGGGGCTCCCATTATGGATGCTGACTTGAATTAACACTGAGCGGGGTGCATTTGAGGGCCCCTAGGGGGTATCACCCTCATGTTTTCCCTGAAAAGAAGGGGAATAGCAGAGCATCTTGAAAGACAGAATCTTTTATGGCAACAGCAGCAGGGCAGGGTGATTCATCCACGGAAGAGAGAGGGGGAAGATGGGAGAAAGATTCTTTCTCAATGGGATCATAAGCAACTGGATATCAGGAAGACATCAAGGCAGCAAAAGAAGTCCAACCATTAGGATCTTCCACAACCCTTTTCAAAGATCCAGTTGTTTAGAACCTCCAGCAACAGGAGCTGGGGAAAAGACATCTCTCCTTGCCACTGCACAGGGACTTTGCAATGGCCACATCTATGAATCAATTATATAGACCACCTCACCTCCAGCTAGTCCAGGTGCAGCCTCCTGGGCTTGAACCCATCCAGTCCTGGCCTCTCTACCTCAAAACAGGTCTTTGAAACCTGGAAAAGATGGAAAAAAGTAAAACCAAAATTATCAAGGGGTTGGAGTAATTCCCTCATGTGGAAAGGTTGGGGCCTTTTAGTTTCAAAGGAAGTACGCTCTCTGTCAGCCCTCATAGTTGTATTAATTCTAGAACCATTAAAAAGCAAACTAATCAATGTCCTCTCTCATACAGGAGTGGTTGCAAACAGAAATGAACAAGATCCAGGCCTCTTTGCAGAGAATATACTTTTATGCACCTCTGACTGTATCACAGCAGGCAAAATACTACGTACAGAATTGGAACAGTTCTCCAGGGTCTCAGGAATGCAAGTTACTTTTAAGAAAGCAGAGGTAATGTTTTTCATATACCAACCTATCCAACAGACTTTTATAGCAATGTTGAAGATTCCAATAGCCAGGAAAAGTTTTAGATATCTGGGGATGCAAATTACCCAAAATTTAAACAAGTTGTATGAGTTTAAATATAGTGTGGTTTGGAAAGCTCTAAATAGGGATATAATACATTGGAATAAATTAAGACTCTTCGTTATGGACAAACCAGTTGCATTTAAAATAACGATTGTACCTTCATTTCTTTTCTTCCAGACTTGGGTGAATGCGTGAGATGGAGGAGGACCCCGGAACCTATCCCTGAGGGTTTCAGAAAAAGCCTGCCTGCCTGTGGGAAGGAAGATAGGGGAGACCTGGCCATAAAAGGGATAGGCATACCTAACCCCCCAAAAAAGAACCCCCCCAAAGAGAAAATTATACAAGGCCAAAATTGAAGCCGAAAAGGTGGAGAAAGGGGGCACCCAAGGCACCTGAGGGAACAAAATAACCCTTGAGGAAAGGCCTAAAAAACATTCCGAAAGTTTCTTTTGGCCGGTGCCCCCTCCCTAGCCCCCCTCCCTGCCAAAGCCATCAGCCCAATTTGGGCGGAGGCTGGCACCCCTCTCCCTGCCCCCCCATGTGCATTACCCTGAGCTGTTAGCAGGACCATCTGGCTCGCATCCACATAGGTGGGCAACCATTTCTCACCTTTCCCTCCCTACCCACTGGAGACCCCTGCCCAGCATTGCTGGCGGGGGTCCCACCCTACCTGACCCGCCACCCTTGCCCACCCCCAACCCTCCATATTGCCAGACACCCAGCCCTCTGAAGTAACACCTCCAGCCCCACCCCATCCAACCCCAGGCAGTCAGGGGATTAAATACATACGAAGCCTCCGGAAATCTGAAGCATCAAGTCAGGGGATTCCCTCCATTGACCAAGGTGAGTTTGTGCCCGCTCAGTCAACCTCTCAGCTTTGACACAAAGGGAAGGGTCTTGCTCAACTAATGAGTGTTACCAGTGCAGCAAAGTTGGACGTTATAGGAGATTTTGCTCACAAGCCAACAATGCTAACCCAAAGAATTCAAAGAGGTGGCAAAATTTTATTCCCAGACGCCCACAAGAGCATCCTCTGAGGGGCGAGGCACCTCAACGACAGACTAATAATTCTTACCAACCAAGAAGGAAGTGGGTGCCTTTGCCGCCTTTCTGCTGCCTCCAAAACCTTCTGGCAGCGAAATAGGAGAATACTGACAACTAAATAGGAATCCCATCCACTCAGAACTCCTGTGTCCTGTCTTAACTCTCTCTGCCACTGACCTCATGGGCAAAATACACATGGATTGATACTAGTACAATTGCTGACTAGACACAGGGCTGCCGCATCCGTCCCAGGCGCCCCCCAGCTGGTGGGCACTCGGGGGATGTGATGCCTCAAGTGCCCTGCAGGCCCAGCGCTGCCTGATTTGGGGGGTGTGAGAGAGAGAAGGTGTTTTGTTTCATTTTTACAGTTCTCCTGATTTTTACTGCATTCTAAAAGATTGCCAAATGGATATGCCTACCCTGAACCCATGTTCAGTGCCTCCATCATCTGGGAAGGAACAGTCAAGAAACTTAGCCAGAGATGCCTCCCTTTTCTCCATCCCAACACAGCACACATCTTTTGAGGACTGCAGTTTGATTAGTGAGTTGCACAAATCCATATTTCCAGGTGCTGACATCTTAAAAGGAATGGTAGCCAGACCAGTTTGGGGCCTGAAAAGCTTATCTCTAGTGACGTGTAGGGCTTGAGCTGTGGTTTATTGTTGGGGACGAACTGTGGTTTGGTGGGTAAAACATACCTTTTGCATCCAGAAGGGTTCCAGGGTCAATCTCCTAGCAGAGCTTGAGAGATGCATTGCCAGTTGTGAAACCCTGGAGACAGTGGTAGTGGAGACACATTGGTGTCCTGGTTTTGGAAGAACTTTATCTCTCCCTGCCTTGTGCGCAAACTTTGACACGTCCTGCCTATCTGTCAAAGTTGGCCTGCAGGGACTTGAGAAGAGAAGAACCAAACAAGCCAGACCTCCCTGCACATCGGGACTTCCGGGTTGGCGCCATCGCCGAATGGCGGACTCCCTCCGAGCTCCGGAGGGAGTCTGCTCGGCAGGGGCTGGGTCCTACCGCGCCGGCGACGCGGGGACCCTTAAAAACCACGGGCACGGAGTCCGTGGACATGGGTGACTCGGCTTGCACCATGAGCACCCTCCCGACGCGTGACGGAGCCTTGTTAAGGCTTCGGATCGGGTGCCGGGGAGCGGCGTGGTGCTTTGAGTCTTCTGCTTTCCCTGCCGAGCGCAGCCGCATGCCATTCGACGGAGAGCGCTGACTTCTTCCATTGAAAATTTGGACTATTAACAACAACCCGTGAGTAATTGGGAAATCGGGTTTAAAATTTCGGATTTGGCACGAGCGGGGGCGATTTAAAAAGGAAGTCAATCCCCCCCCCTACTGTAAGCATTCCAAAACAAGGACTGAGTAACCAAGGTCCAAAGGGAAGTATATTCTTGATAAAAACCATTAATTTCACGATGGGAAATTATAAGAACTGTGCTGGAGGAGAAGAGTGGAGGGTGAGAAGAAAATGCAACCCCCCGGGAACCGGGGCGATTCGTGGAGCCTGGTGAAGAGAGACGGAGACTTTGACAGCTGTCAAAGTGGCTGTCAAAGTTGGAGAATATAAAGAGGACTTTGTTATGAGGACTTTGCCGGTTAATTTTGCTACAATTTGTTACAATATGGATATAAACTGTTGGAAAATAAGCAACAATTTGACTTTTGGATTAGAGGATACAAAGTTATTACAAACCCCTAGAGGGGTTTCGGGATATTACAAGAACGGTCGTAAGTGGAAAAATACTCTGGGATTCGCACAGGACTTGTTATCTTTGGGAAAGCTGCAAAACTGAAATAGTATTTTGTCTACAGAGGTATTTACATTAAAGGAGACAATAGAATTTTCTATTGAAGAAAGGAAGGGACTGGACGTAAGTTTTTGTTCCTGAATAACAAACCTCTGCAGAGATATCAGATTTCTGAATTAGAAAGTTTTAGCAGCTGAACAGGACAAGAAACCTGAGAAAGTGAGGAAAAGAAGAACAAAGGACTGATTACGACACGGAAAGAACAACGGGAGGAGTGGTAAAGATCAAGGAAATTAAAGGCCTTTGTTAGATTGGACACTTGAAGTTACATATTATTAATAAATTAAAAGAAAACCGGCAAGATGGAATCGGGGAGAAATTTGGTCATGAATTGAGACTTCCAAGCTGATAATGCACAGACTGATGGATATGGGGAATTCAAACCGGGGAAGGGGGGGGGGAGATTTGAAATCCAAAGGCTGTGTAACCATCTTTTGAATTTTTTTTATATCTTTTATTTTTTATTTTTTTTACATAACTTATGTATGTCATTTTATTTTGATTGGACGTGTTTAAAAAAAGGCAATTCGTGGAAGGAACTGGGGTGGATCTTGGGGAAAATCTTTTTTCTTTTCTTGTTAATGATGTGGGACGGTGGTAAGATTTGTACAATTCAATTTGGATAGTGGGTTAAACAAATTAAGCTTCAAATTGGGAGTGAGAGCTTGTAGAATTAAATTAAGGAAAGGGGAATACAGTCGGGGGGGGGGAGGGGGGGAGTCCCAGAAAGTAGGCAATGAAAGTAAGGTTTTTAAATATCTTTTTTTCTTTTTCTTTTTTTCTTTGTATTTTTATATTTCTGGAAACTTTAATAAATATGATTAAAAAAAAAAAAAAAACCTCCCTGCACATCAGCTGATGAATGACAAGACTTGGTGTGTTCAGTCCTGCAGAAAGGATTGAACTCTTCACCCATCAGCTGAGTCCTGCTCTCCACAGGGCACAGCAGCTGTCAGGTGTAGGGCAAATGGGCCCGGTTTGGGCAAAATGACCTTGCTAGCCAAACTTTTTCCATGCACTGGAGGTTCCCTTGTGTAGGCATTGCTGAGCCAGGCAGGCCCCACAGATTACCATCATTGTTTGGTAATCAGGTCAAAATGTTAGCAGGGTTATTGTAAATGCAGTAGTGTAAAGTATTATAGATGTAGCAGGAGGAGAGAAATATGAATATGTGGGGAAATTAGAATACGCAGTCTTAATGGATAAAGAAATAGAACCATAGAAGGGGGAAGGGAAGTCAAGGATTGAATGTACGGTTATATTCAATGAAATGTAAAACGCTCTAATGAAAAATGATAAATACAGTTATAAAAAGGGGGGAATTGAAAGGCATTTACTCCCCCCACCCCCAAATATATATCCTGAAGCGATTGATGCCATTTTGGTGAAAATTGAACCAGGAACTGAAGAACCTTCCCTTTGAGAATAGGCATTCAGGGTTTCTCGTTGTGAAAGACAATTGTTGCTTCCATTCCTTTCCGCAGGGCTTTTGTGGAAGACCATCCTGGTGGGCTGCATCTAACATACTTAGGAATATATTATGAGCAGACGTTTGAGTTTTATGCCCCAGTTTGAGGAGAAGGCCGAAAAGATACCTTGTCATCATGTCCTTGCAGGTGTTTCCAAGGTGGAGTGATGGCTCTGTGGATTTTTACCGAGACTGGGACTCTTGCAAGAGAGGTTTTGGAAGCCAACTGATGGAATTCTGGCTGGGAAATGACTATTTTCATCCACTGACCTCCTTGGGTAAATAGCACACCTTCTTCACTCAGGTCTTCCTGCTCTGACCACAATTTTCTATTTCACCGCCATCTCCTGGGCCCTCTCCTTGAGAAGGTGGGAGACCCAGTGTGGTGTGTGATGGTTGAGTGTTGGACTAGACCCAGAGAGGTCTGGGTCCAAATCCCATGGCGAGAGAGTGGTGCAAGAGTCGCCTGATGCACACGTGAGAAGGTTCCTGCTGGACAGTGACTGTGTCTAGGACTCCTTCCATAGCCATCCTCTGCCCACTTCTAAAGAGGAAGGGTGACTGTGGTGTGGAATCATAGTGCTGGGGAGAAGCAGCAGGCGGTACAACTCCTCCCAGACTTGTGAAAATGTTTGGGCCAGCTGAAGTAGGCAAGAAGGGTGAGGCACTTCGGGGGTGGCAGTGGAGAGGATGGTTTTATGTGTGACACCCTTTTAAAGACCATTCTAACCTTATTTGTCACACTTTTGTGTGTGTGTGTGCGTGCGTGCGTGCGAGCTGTCGCTTTGGGATCTGCACCCCAAGGTGTTGCTACAAACCTTTTTTTAAAATAAATTTTTATTTTTATTAAGTACAAATTAGAAAACATACATATTTACAACAAAAGAAAATACAAAAGAAAAAGAAAATGCATATAACCAAGGGAAAAACATTAGAGAATATTTTGTCTCTTTTCATATTTACAGTTATTTATACCTCTACAAAATGCTATTCACAATAAAGGAGTGAAATGAAAGATATCAGAAAAAAAGAACAAAGAAAAAATAAAGAAGTAAAAGAAAAAGATCATAGGTGAAAAATTTTAAAAGTAGATAAGTACTCACAATACATAGCCATTTCCCGTCTATATTTATATTCAATTGTATAATTTCGTCTTGTCCTTTTTTTTTTTTTACTGCAAAGGATAATAGACCTTGGGTGACTCTCTTGCAACCCCTGGCAATGTCATTGGGAGTGTAACATGGTCCAGTTTCACCCTCCTTCCCTTACAGTTAGCAGTGACTAAAGTAGCCTCTCTGGCCATTATATAGGTGACACTATAGCAGAGGAAAAATTAGGTCATCAGTTTCCTTTGTCTTGATGGTGTGTAGCCAGAATCTCTGGCTTTTCCCCTCTGTTGCCTTACAAATTGGGAACAGAGGGATTGACACATATGTGCAAACTTGGTCTGACTTTGACTGGAGTTTGTTCTCTTCCTCACAGGCAGTTCGCTTTCTTACCATAACAACATGTCTTTCTCAACCAAGGACAAACAGCAGGAGCCCAAGAACCAGAAATGTGAAGATGTGTATAAGGAGTCTGGTGGTACGACTGACACCTCTACAACATCAAGGGGATGGGGCCCCACACCTCCTTTGCTGATGGCAAACTGGGAAAGTGGCCAAGAGTACCACGATTCCTACAAGCCTTCAGAAATAAAATTCAGGAGCTTCTCCCCGACTCAAAGTTTTCATTTTATCTGGAGGTTCTATATGTATTTCATCCCCTGTTGGGCTGGGGCTAGAGGTTTTACTTCAGAGTGCTTTTTTTAGGCCTATCCTTGAGGGTTATTCCTCAGATGTCTTGGGTGCCCCCTTTCCCTCTCTTTTCGGCTTCCTTTTTGGCCCAATCCTGTCCCTGTTGATTTCACTCTTGTTCACGCTGACCTTGCGCCACCCTCTGCCCCATGCCATCCCAAATTCAAGATCACCCTCAGGCAGAACATCCCCATATCAGACTCGCTCATTTGTTTGGTCTCAGCATCCTGAGGACCCTGGGAGCAGAGGGAGGACAACCTAACATGGCTCCTTTGGGTATCTCCTGAACAAGCTGATGGAATTTGCTGCTGTAGGTGGAGAGGCTGAGGTAGGGAAAAGCGATGGCGCTGAAATGTTGGATTGCAGTATAGAGGATTTGAGCAGAAGCCTTGCTAATCTGGAGAAAGTGAAAAGAGAAAAACAGACCTCCACTCTGAGGGATGGAGATGAATCACGACAGGACAGAGATATCACTGCTTTAGTAGCTTCCTTTTTACCCAGAAGGTTTCCAAACAAACCATCTGTTATGTACTGAGTTGAATAGGATCCAAAAGGCAGCAGTCTGATTGTTCTTGAACAATAGGGTCCAGAATGCAGCAGTCTGATTGGTCCACAGGAGACACCCAATCCAGTTCCAGGTGGAAGTGAATCTGCAACCTGATTGGCCTACAGGTGAATCCCAGAATTAGCCAATCACGTGGGGCCCATTGTGTAAATAATGTATATAAAGCAGATATTCTGGGGGAACTTCCATTCCTCCTCACCACTATGAGCTGAATAAAGAGCATGAAATCCACCCTCGACCATATTTCACCATCCCTTTGGGAAACAAACAGGGCAAAGCAGAATAAGTGCACACGATCACAGTGTGACCTTATGACCTTCGACAGCTTCACCCTTGTCCTTTTAATTATCCCATTGACTTGAAATGTTTTATACTGTGATGCCAATAAAGGGATTTGATTTGATATGAATCAGGGCTGTAGCTGGGGTGTGTGAGAAAGGCCCTCACCAGGGGTGCAGGTGAGGGGGAGGAGCACAAAATGGGCTAAAAATATGTCTATAAATAAAAATATCGATTATTGCCTCACAAGAAAAGTTTTTTAATAGAGTGTCTGTATATGATATGGGGGTGGGGTGGAGGAGAGGCGGAAAGAAGAGCTAATTTGGCTAGGGGGTGCAATCTGGACAGTTCTGCCAGAGGCACAAGATCACCTAGCTATGGCTACACGGGAACATGCTGGTTGTCAGGTGATCTATTGCTTGAACAAAACGCGAAGGACTAAAAGCCACATGCACTGTTCTGACTGGAACGCGACCTTAATCCAACAGTTAAGCATAAAGATCTTACCTTGCTTTTACTGGTAGCGGCTGCTCAGATGGACATTGCTCAACAATGGAAATCACATGGTTCAAGAATGTCCAGGATACAGCTCTGTCTGAATGTCTTACACAACACGGAAGAGCAGTGAGAGGTGAAATGAAGAAAGATCAGTTTGAGAAACTGGGGTTTTTTGTTGTTGTTTTTTACTTTCCCCTCTATATTAATAAGGACTCAAAATTCTAAGACCCTCCCAATAGCCACATCTCACTTTGGAGAGGCTATGCTGGCCCGTACAAAACTGGTAATGACTCTTCTAAGATCATTTAATCATTTGCTGTGATTGTCTGACTTTGTGCTATAAATTATTTAATCTGTATCTGTAACTGGATTCTGTTACGTATGTTTACTCCGAGTTCTAATTTGTTTATCTGAAACAAATTTTGAACTATCGAACCATGGTTGCATCCAAAATATTTTCCTAGAACTCAAAATGAAATATATTTATCGGATTCCATAAAGTTGTCCTAGCACTTGTGTTAGTTCCTGTCCTCCCTCAGTGTCTGCTTCTGTCAATGTTTGCCTTTTCCAGTGACAGCAAACTCCTTCCCAGCCCATGCAACCATGAATTGGCCCTCTAGATCACCACTGCTGACGTGAAAGTGGGGATCGAAAAGGAGAGAAAGAACATGATTTCAAGAATTAATGTCTCACTGCAAGGAATGAGTGTGGATCTTCTGTTTTATTAGATGGATTGAAATATGGATTTTATCTGCCATGTGACGATGTCCTGATATGTTTCAGTTGAGAATCTGAAATGCTGCTATATGTGATGTGTAGATTTCTTGCCATCTACTGGCAGAAATGCACTTCTTCAGGCCCTTAAAATATGTGCTGCAATATTTTTTTCTGTGGCATGGAAACATTTCTAAAGATGTTAGAGTCAAAGCAAAGCAACCAAACCAATTTATATTTTAAGAAGCAATGCAACAAAATAAGATGCTGAATTTCTGCACTGTTGGGTCTAGATTTCACTGGGCTGATGTCTAGAGTTGAGCTTTCCATTACCTTTTAAATGCATGCACCCTCTTCCCTTGCTCTGATAAGGGCTAAATCAAATGTAACTGCAGCTATTTACTGGAGCTAATTTATATTAGAAAGAAGCTGGGCCAGTGGTCTCCCCAGTTGATTCTCCAAATTCACTGTAAAGCATTAAAACCATCAAATATTATGCTTAGTCAGCAACTTAAAAGCCATTACAGCTCATAAAAGCAGAGATGATGGGGTTCCTGTAGTTTTTGTTTCTGTGCTCATTTGGAAATCAGACGTACATCTGATAACATATACCCCACTCCTCTGTAAACTGCAAGAGCATAGTCCCTACCCAGAGCTCAAAGTAGATTCAACAAGCCTGAAGGCTGCCGGCCTTACAGGATCCTGTGGAGGCTAGAGATGTGAAGCTCCAAAAAACCCCCCAGAAAAATTGGGGGGAGTTTTTCTCATTTTTTATTATTCGTTTCCAAAAGAACCAACAACCTGGGGAAAAGAAACATAGGCAAATGCGAAAAGGCACCCCCCACATTTTTTTCTGATTTTCCCTAGGGCCTTCACATCTCTAGTGTAGGCAGAATGGTCAACACAGCTCAGTCCTCCATCGTCTTGTTGCTGCCCCCCAAAACCTGCTGGCTGAGAAGGGCACCTCACTCCACCTACTGGTAGGACCCATAACACTCAGTTCTGAAAGCTTTATGGTAGTTAATGCTTTTGACAAAGACAATTTTGCTATATACATGTCCCTCGCTATTCCTTCCCTGTTGCCAAAGACTAGTCAAGGGAGATTTTTCGTTCAGACTCCCCCTTTTGCCAAATGGAGTTTGCTAGACTGATGGAACAAGTACCTTTTTGCATGCCTGCACTGCTCAGAATTGCCGCATTCACTGTGTCTTTCTATACAGTATTGCCTACTCAGAAGTAAGACCTGCTGAGTCCAATGGCACTTTCCTCCAGGTTAGTGGCTGCGATCCTATACCCACTTACCTGGCAGTAAGTCC